AACTAAAACTTCAAATTCAATTATAGAATTAAATTAAAGTCCCTAGTCCTGTTTCATTTTCAAGTGAATTTCAGCATTGGAACCATATTTTTTAAATTAGTAAAATTATAATATTTTTATATATATATATATATATATATATATATATATATATATATATATATATATATATATATATTCTGTTGTATGGAGATGAGTTAGCTCAGAATATGTTAGCTCTATCACTGATATTGAGTGCTTTCCACTAAGTACTGCACATACAAAAAGCAAAATTATTTATATATATATAAGGTGGACATAAGTTGTAATCCTTCTGGAGAGTAGATTTTCTTTAAGTTTTCTCAAGTGTGCAGGCGTAATACACACAAAAAAGCTGAGTGGGGGATGTGGTCAAATGTGAGTATCCACTAAAGGAAACATTTGAAGTAATAAAAATGTCAGGTTAAAAATAAATCCATTAACTTTAGAAACTGCTTTGTTTATGTTTCAAATACAAAATTGAGCATACAAAATGGTCTTTTGAGAAACTCTAAACAAGGGAGTGTGTATTCATTATAATGATAAATAGAAGTTTACTAGGTTGTGAGGCCAAGCAATCTAAAGCACGCCAGATCAAACAGTTATTTCACCTACAAAAAGGGACACAGGTTCAATCCCTGCTGGAAGAAAGATTTTCTTTATTTGTTATTTTTTTTGTTTTTTCAAGTATGCATCCTTTTCAAAAATTTTAAAATGTGGTATCTATTTCAAATGAGATAATCCACTAAAAATAATGTTTGAAGTAATAAAAATATGACAGATTGAAAATAAATCCATTAACTCTTTATGTGTTTGTGGATGTGCAGGTGGTGCAATGCTTAGAGTTTTGGAACAATAAATTGCTAAACCAAATTCAAATTCCAGTCAACATCATTACATTCATGTTTGCCCAAATACCCATGGGAAAAGTATGAATCCATCTCTTCTGCTTTCGCTATGGGTTAAATACCAAGATAGACTTGACATTCTAGCCATGTTTGGCAATAAGTATAGGGGAAGGACAGCTCTAAATTCAAAACCATAAACTGCCCAGGAGGGACACATACTTCAATCATAACTAAGGTCTGGTCAGAGCCTAGTTGCAATATCAACCATAAGTTGATTCTGTGGGTGTTGAAGAAATACAAGTGGGCTTGAGCAGATGGGCAGGCTCAGAAATGAGTAGTTATGCTGAAGATAAGAAATCACATGCATTTGCAGTGTGCTTTTAGGGGTTCAGTTTATTACTTAATAATAATAAGATTGAAACAGCTCTGATGATGTGTGCGTGCATGCACATGAGAGATGCTCCAAAATGCCTACAGTTTATTACCAAGACCCAGAGTTTACAGCTATGCATAGAATGTGTCTTGTCAAACACATCATTCATGCCACTGCTGAAATATAATACCCACCACCTCTGCTTGTCTCCATAAACATTCAGCAAGCATCAATGGACACAATTTTTTTTTTTTTGCATGGAGAAATTCAGTGTATGCACGGAGTATTCCTTGTATACAGTTTCATGTCAGACTCCATTTTGCTAGACTACCATTAGCAGTAAAGCTGAACATCTACTACTATGCTGCCAACATCCACCTCTGACATCATGATCCAACCTTATAAAATTGGGAGATATTACTTTCAGAGTGACCAGCATGTACACACGCACACACATGTAACGAGAGAGAGAGAAAGAAACAGAAGTTGACACGATAAACACCCAGAATATATTAATCTTTCCTATTAACTTTTAATTCTCTGTCTGTACATTCTGACAAAATACACATCAAGATTTGACCTCTTGCCAAATATATTTTCTGGACATACAACTATCTCAGGTCTGTAATGAAAAGAAAAAAAAAAGGGAGAGAAAAAGAGAGAGAAATAATTGTTTTGTTCATACACATATCGCACACACATTCATTGCACTTCAAGGAAAACTAAAGATTGATTTCCATTCAATATAAAAATAATAATAATAAAAAAAAAATCCAAAAAAAAAAAAAAATCACTCGAGTTACTTACTGAAGCAATTTCTAAAATTTAGTTAAGCATTAGCAATTTCCTGATAGCATGCCTTTGGGCTTTTATTTAACACAAGTGTTTCATTACAAAAGCTCTGATAATATTTCAATTTTTCTTTCTAATAAGAAAATGTGTGTGCTTGTGAATCTATAGAAAATTAAGAATAACAGCTAAATAAAAAGGCATTACTCACATAAACAATATAGCCATCTCCTGCCTAATTGCATTTTAAGAATGAATATAATATATGCATTCCTAAAACTAAAAATTAACTATTAAGCAACAAGAAAATTTCACTAGAAACAAAGAAAAGAGTACTGAACTTTTATGTAATATTGGTACTCCTGTATCACAATGAATACTGGACTATCTCATCACAGGTAAAGAAGAGGAGACAATAGAGATGTGGTTCTACAGAAGGATGTTGAGAATGCTATGGATGGATCATGTGAGCAATGAGGAAATTTTAAGAACAAAAACATACTAGTACTTAGAATCAGAAAGAGACACTTGTAATTTCTGAAAAAGATAATGAGAATTTTTTTTTTTTTTTACAGCTTATCAACCTTCTGTGGGTTACTTAAAGCTGAAATATATTTTGGATTGTAAGAAAATTTTATTTTTGAGATTTTTTTCACAATTTCTGGTACTAACAATGATTTTACAGATACAAGTATTTAACCCGTAGCTGAAGGAAGAAGAGATAAATTCATAACTTTTTCAAGTGTATTTGCATGCAAGTGAATATAAGAAACTCAATTGTAATTCAAACTCAACTGTGATTTCTCATTCTAAGCAGCTAATCTATTACACCACCGAGATCAGTTATGTGCCATCCATGATACATGCTTAGGCGATCATGTACCTTTCAATACATGACTGACAAGGCAGATTTTTTTCCTGCAGTAGGTTGCCATTTCTTTCTGCGATAGATGAGTTGCCATCCAAGGCTATAGAACCCAGTCTGTCCTGCTATTTATCCATAGCTGGAGAGAGCATACATCCCACATAATAAGGGAAAAGTGCTTGGAGAACTTGACACTCACAGGATATATTGAAAGCAAGAGGGACACAGCTAATAACCTGAAAAGTTTGTGTAAATGGATGGCAAAACATGTAGAAATAATAAGGTGTTATGGAGTGATTTCACAGTGGAGGCTTGTATTTGTACTAAGTCGGTCCTAAAATAGGTTCGACGTACAAAACGTTAGGAACTTGAAATAATCGGTATAATGCAGAGTAATCTAAGTTGTGGTCGCTGATACTTTAGTATCTGACTAACGGTCATCCGGCATCGACTGACAGACCAACTCACTGAGCGACTCATTACTCTTACTACTTCTACTTATTATAGGTGGGAGAGTCTATTAACTATAGAATAGGTGTGTTCCACTATAACATAAGGGGAATAACATTACTTAGATCTACAAAGGAATCTGGCAATCATATCTTTTCACAATGCCTATGTTCTCAATGGACATGGCACCTAAAAGAAAATGTAACACTATGTCAGATTTTATGAAGCAAATCAATGTTTTCACAATAAAATTAGTATTAACCAACTGATGAAGGGAAAAATTTCAAGATATATTTACATTAAATATTAATGTTTTCTACTGGATATAATGTGGGAGATTGGTTTTCTATTGTTATTAAGTAATAAACTGAACCCTCCTCTAGAGTTACTACCAATGTCAAATTTTATGAAGCAAGTCTAAGTTTTCACAATAAAATTGGTATTAATCAACCAATGATGTTATTAAAAGGATAAATATACCATGTGGAATATACTATTATCACAAATATACCATATGAATTTCAGGATATACAACTTTTTATTAGAAATATCTACAATAACTTCTTTGGTTGCATGTAATTTTATTATACAACTTTATTGTTATTCATTCACAAATAAATATAATAGATATAATAGTGTAGTTACTGATATTTATTTTTTTAATTTCAGTTATACAAAGATTGTCTTTGGTTGTCAAGATTGATGCTCAAGTGAAAAAAGATACTATCAAGTTATTGAGTAATGAGAGCACAAAATTATAAGAATGATGAAAAAAGTTGAATACAGATCAGACAAAAATAAATCAAAAAAAGAAAAGAAATTGAAAAATATCCATACAATAAGTCCAAAAAAAGAAAAAATGGCTTTAAAAAGATTTGAGAAAAAATGCAAAGGCCAATTAGCTCAGCAAGAAAAATTTCTTGATCAGTAAGAAAATATTTGAAATCATCAGTGATTTAAATGGAAACAGAGGAAGAAAATGATGAATAATGGCTGAAGACATGGATGCAACGAAACTTAGAACTTTTAACTAAATACTACAAAAATAAATACATAAACTGGGTAAAGTAGGACATGGAAACTGATTTCTTAAAAGTAATTTTTAGTGATGAATATAGAATATTACTGAATAGACCAGAGGTTGGATTCTTCATGGAAATAGTCAACCAGTATGACTTAAGACAAGTAGGGAGGTAGAGTAATGTTTTGGGATAGTATTGGAGAGGTGACACTATGATTGTGATACCCATGTAAAAGGAGAAAATGGGATTTTATCTTGATCTCATGTGTTCCTCTTTTATATATATATATTTTTTTAAAGTTTAGTCTAAGTGGCATCCACTTTGACCAAAGAAAATGGAAGAGTAAATGAGTGAATGCGGGGCTTTTGACAATAAAATTGAACATAGAGCATATCCAGTTGCTGGTCTATATTAACGATCACAGTTGAGATTATGGGAGCCAATTCTGGTTTGACCTTGGCAGTGAGATATTGTCTATTCCAATGCTGCCTGTTTGTATTGCCAGCCACACATCAGGATGTATAGATGGTCAGAGACATGATAAAGGGAAAGTGCTGAGCTGTTAGACTTGACACCACAGTTGATGGTTTAGGTAAAATATTTTGGAAGGGAACAGATGTAAGAAATTCTAGGCTTACAGCCATATCACATTGAAACATCAGTTCTTGTATGATCACCAAAGTTAAGCAACATTGAGCTTGATCAGTACCAAAATGGGTAACTGCTTGTGAATACTAGGTGCTGTAAGTTTGGATGTGCAAGCGGTGAAATGGATAACAGCTCAGAATTAGAATTCAGAAAGCCAAGTTCCAATTTCAATTGAGTTCATTATATTCACTTAAGCCTTGGGAAAGGTATGAATCCACTTCTCCCCCCCCCAGCTATGGATCAATTAGTGGGACTTGTATCAGTAAATCATAATTATTTTCCAAAAGCTTCTTACAATCTAAAAATATTTTCTGGCTTTAAATAACCTGCAAAAGGTTGATAAGACATAAAAATCAAATCAGTCAATAAATCAAACCAAGAAATTCTAAGAACAGAAATACTAAAACTCTGTTAAGATGCGATCACATTGCTAATCCAAATTTCTAGTTTATAAAATCATAGTCAGAAAGTAAATAACAGTGGTTTGTGAGGAGTTGGCAAATTTTTATAATTTTCCTTGTTAGGGAGAAGTTCATTTTTGACTTTACTAGATTTTTTAAATTCAAGTGGGGAAAATTGGTATAAAGAGCTACCAATGCTCACTTTCCAGCCTTGATATAGTTTACATAGCCTTGTGGGTGATAAATTATTTTCTGTCCTGCAATCCCTTTCCCACAGACCATCGTCCTGGGTATGATGATAAACTACATCTGATAGTAAGGCCTCTGATCAGGAGGTTTTGTGGAGTGTGGAACCACCTCTTAATTACTGTTGTTCCTAGGTTCACTCTGACCCAAAGTGGTAGCACCTGTTAGGGTCCAAGCTATGGGCAAATAGTGAACACCCAAACTGGGGTCAAAACATGAAAACAGAAAAATAAATTAGGAAAAAAAAAAAAAATATCACTAGCAATACATTTTCATAATAAGAAAGAAAAAAAAATTACCAAAGCTCCCAAGAAAATAAAATTTTGGCATTAAATAACTCATAAGTAATTGATATGCCATTAAACAAACCAATCCAATCGCACAAAATAATCGCCTCTCATTATTTTCATAGCTGATGTTCAATCAAGCTACATTCCTTAATTCCACCAGTTCAAATGTGTACACTTAAGACCTGCTATGCCACATGCATAGTCGACTCATCCTCATTCCTTTTGGTGAGGAGGAAGTTCATTTCAATCAGATTCTTCCCCAGAACTTATGTTGTGGAACTGAATCTCAAAAAGATGTTTCTCTGATCATTATAATCATAACCTCTTCAACTCTAGGATCAACCATTATTTATCCTACATATTCTCATCATATACACTTCTTAATTCCTCTTTGTCCATCCTTACAACAACCTCATTCAGTAACACTCTAGCTTGAGTGGCTCTTGGTGCTCCTATTGGGTGAGCAATAGCAAATATACACAAAATAACAAATGAAAGAAAAAAAATGTCAAGAAATAAGAATGCAAACACTAGTTCCCATATTCCACACAGATTTTTTATTCAGGGCTTCACCTGCTTGGCCGGGTGTGTAGGTAGGAGATACTTGGGACAACTTCTGCTATGTCAGCTCTTCCTCCTACCAACTCCCTATCTATCTACTCATCCTAATATGGTAGATGGAAATACAAAATGGAGGCTTCAGAACTGCAACTCAAACATATCTGTCTTCCAACAAGGACAGACCAGAACTCTCAATGGTCCAAAGCATGACAATTAATGTAGATCAGCACCTGGATATAACCTATTTCCGGTTTTATTGCCACTCGATCCCTCAAAACTCCTCATATGTCTCTTTAATTCTACATTACTTATAAATCAAAGTGGATACCACTTAGAAGATTGAACTTTAAAAGGAACTATCTACTGGTCCATCAAACAAACACTTGAGATCAAGATAAAACCAACTCTTCCCCTTTATATGTGTGTATCCATAGTATCACAAAAACATTGACTTGCATAATAAGATATGACATAGTTAAAAGGCGGAGTCAAATGCAATTTATTACATAAGATTTCTGAACTTCATAACAAGAGACATCCCAAACTTCTTTTATGTTGCTTGTCCCTTCAGCACATTAGCAATCATGGCTTTCCACAACTTCCCGTCTTTTGTAGCTCTTAGTAAATTTGGGCTTTTTGCTATCTCTTAAACCCTATTCTACCATTCATTTACACAAGTTCACTAGGTAGGTTATGCACTGTTTACCTCTGTCCCTCCAATATGTCTTGTGAGGGTCAAACTTTCCAAGCCCTTTTTCCTCATTATGTGGCTTAGAAATTTCAATTATCTCTTTCTGACGTTAAGTATGTATCCTTTTTTCTTCATTTTCTCTAAAACTTTGTCATTGCTCACATGTTCAGTCCATGATATTCTCAGCATCCTTCTGTAGGACTATGTTTCTGTTGCTTCAAGTCAAACTATTTAACTAAAATACTGAATTAGTCTTATTATGTTCTCCCTTGATAACTTGACAGAGTTCATGGAGAAACATGGCTTATCAGCAAATGATTATTTTGTATTTTGGCAAGCTATATAAATTTTTATTAAGATAATGAACTTACCTGGGAGATTTACTCAAGTTTTCTTTACTAAGTTTATTGTTTGTCTGTTCTAAACAGCAAGACAGATTTACTGCAATTTCCTGATAAAAAATTTATGAAAATCCCAATTCCCTTTTAATCAGTAGTTGTTATTCATGTGTGTTAATAAAGTGTTACTTGTATGAAAGCTTATAAAAGAAAACAGTGAAATGTTTAGAATCTAAACATCTGTTTTATTGATCAGCTATAAATGTTAAGTGTGGGATCAAGTATCTAAGCTGGGCCCCAAATAAAAAGAAATGTTTTAGTATAAACAAGTTATTACTTGAGAAGAAAATTTTCCTTCCTATCTGTCCTTGGCTAAAAAGAAACATTTTTTTTTCTTTTAAAGTGAGTTTAGAGTTCATTTATAAAAAATTGTTTCAAATATTGAATATCCATTTTCTTCAAAAATGTCTTAAGCCTTTTGTCTCATAAGCAAATATGATTTCTATAGTTTAGACCAGTGTCTCTCAATGTTTTTAAGCAATGGCACATCTTGGAGCAAATGAAAATATCACAGCACACTTCACAAAATTTTTTAAAGGATACACATTTGAATGTTTTGAAATAAAAACAGATTTAAAAAATACACACACAAATAGGAACTTTATTTCAATGTCTCTATTCAACTATTTGTGCAGCTTTTGTGTTATTACTACTTCCACACACACACACATATACATATATATAAAATGATCACGAGTCCAGTAGCCTATTAGGTTCATAAGGACACCATGTACTGCAACCATACCAGCAGTGGTGTGTCTTGGGCAAGATAGTCTGATGGATCCTAACCCTATCCAGGTTGGTTTGAATCCTTCTCCTAGACTGTTTACCAACCAAGTTTATAGATCCCAGCCTGTACTATTATTTACTCATGGGGAGAAGACATGGATTCATATCTTTCCCAAAGCTATTTGCATATAAGTGAATGTAACAAACTCAACAGTAATATTCACGTGACTCCAATTTCTCATAACTACTCTCTCTATCTCTCTCTATATATATACACTACCCACATAGTAATGGCAAAATTAGCTATCTGTATACGGGAAACATTCAGCATTCATTGACCAAACAATTAGTATTCCTTTAAAACAGTTTTTCAGGAAAATAGATTTCTCAATTCCACTATTATCACTTTTAATAGTAATGGTGGGAGATTCCTTCCCAATATTTTGTTTAAAGTCATATGGAAAGTCAATATCTTGATTCTAAAATTACTTTCCTTTCTAATTATATGTACTATCCCATTTTGGGTATAACAATTAAAATACATTCAGCAGCAAGGCCTCTGATATATTTTTGGCCTTGTGCTGTACCTAAGTTATGCTTAGAAAACCACCATATGCATGTATATTTCATATGCTATAATTTTTTTTTATAAAGTAGAATAGGTTTTTTTTTATAATTTTAGTTTGAATTTTATTCATATAATTTTTTTATGGTAAAAAATTGTTTTCACAAAGACATTGATAACAAGCAGACATGAAAATCTGCCTACCTTCTTATATCTGTAAAATTCAATTTCAGCAAATCGTCAAATAGAACCAACAATATTTTTTTCACTTCTTAATATTTTATAGAACAAGTTTTCAATAGAAGACTTGGAGTGAGCTTCAGTTGTGAAAGACATGCATATTTTAACTGTCATATTTTCTAACCAATCAAATTGTAACATTTTCATTCAGTATTTTAAAGCAAATTAATATAAATTCATTGGTTTTAATGCCCCAATTGTTGCTGCAGTTTTATTAAGTAATGGTATAAAGGGACAAAGTAAAAAGTCTATATTATGAGGATATGTAGGATAGATAATGGTTGACCCTACACTTGAAGAAGTTAAGTAATTAGGGAAGCATCCTCTTGGGATTCTACAAAGTAACAATTCTTGGGAGATTTCTGAATGGAACTTCCTTTTTACCAGTGGAATATGAAATGAATGAAGATGATTTAACCCTGTATACATGGCATGGCAGGTCCTAGCTGTAAAGGTCTGAACTGGTACAATTAAAGAATGTATCTTGCCTGAACACTTGACATGCAAATAGTAATAGAGTAGCAATAAGTTTGTGACATTTTGTCTGTGGTAAAGAGGCTTTAGGCTTAAAAATAATTCATCGCCCTCTAGGCTAAGTAATTTTTTTTTTTTAACTTAAGGCTGGAAAATGAGGATTTGGCAGCTCCAGCCCAGATATGGCAGCAATACTCCATTTTGGTGTCCAATCTGACTCTTTTAAAGATGAAGCATGGCAGAAGGACCCTATCAAGGCTGGAAAGTGAGGATTAGGCAGCTCCAGCCAAGATATGGAGGCAATACTCCATTTTGGGTCTAATCTGACTTTTGTAAAGAATATGGCAGGGAGTATCAGGTACTTTCTTGGGTGGCATAGGGAACTAACCATTTTCCCAGCATCTCTGGGCACTTTGATATGGTGTAATAGTTAGCAGGCTTTTTTTCACTAGATCAATTATGATCGAGTAGTGAGTTTGATTTTCACTGGGTGCTACATATTTT